AACGTGAAGGTATTTGAAATTATGTTAAAAGGGAATTAAGAGGTTAGATTTAATGTATCGAGTTGTGTGAGTAGCCAAGAATGAAATCATAATGAATGCCATGGTATAGTTTACACATGGGCTTGTTTTAAATTCCATCAACAGTTTTTAGCAAATTAGTTACGGTATTTTGTGTGTTAGCTGTAAAATGTTACATTTGATTCGCTAAACACGTTGAATTTTTTCTTTACGTTTGATGTGCTCTGTCCTGATGTGAATATTATAAACTACAAGAGTGGAGTTTATAGGTTAAGTCTCCATCAAAGTATTAAAATATAACCTACAGGTTTCGTTCTTTCTTGGTGGCAAGGCTGGAATTGGATATTTAAAAAAGAGAAGGTTTTACTTGGAACTGTTTCTACAATCTGATAGGTACAATAATAATGACAGTATATAACTGTGAGATAGGGACACTAATGTTCAGACAATATATGCGTAGACAAATAGTGTTATTGAAACTCAGTGAATATTTCTCAAATAATAATTGTATGAAAACGTTAGCACAAGAGATACGAAAAATGTGAAAACCTTTAGCCACCTTTTTTCTCTGTGTATATTTGCATTGAAGCATAACACTTATTGTACTCACTAATTAAAGTCAATACATGACTGCGTTGCACAAACCGAAACGCGGCTCCGAAAGACAAAACTCGAAAAGGAATGGTATCACAGAAAACATACTAGTAGTATGTTTTCTGTGATGGTATGCAGCACTGTTCCAAAAGAATGTGAACTTTCGTAGTTATATGTTTCGGAGCAGTGCCTGGATCTTACACAAAAATCTGAGTAGCATACGACCGGATAGAAATAATACCCCCGCCGCAGCAAACCTGCAGACTAAGCGAATTTCCATTTGACTGATTGGATTTACACTGAAATGTCTACTTAAAAATATAACATTTATTCTTGATTTAAATAGAATTAGTTTAACAAGTACTTAGGTTTGCTGCATCAGGGAGGGTAAAACTGTTTTTTTTTTGTAAAATGTGAATAGTTAGTAAGAAATAAAAACATTTTCCAAATTTGATCAAAATATGTTCACAAACAAGCAAACTACAACAGTTTACTTATTCTCCATAAGAATAACATGGGAATTTTAAATTTACAATTTTTGGAATTTTCTCCGTAACCATTAGGCGCATAATAACGCTTCAATATACTAAATTATTTGTTTTTTTAAGCTCTACAAAATGGTTTGGAAAGAAATTGCTAAATTTTATGTTTTTTGGGTCAAAAATGGGAAAAACCTATTTTTACCCCATAAAACCCCCCGTAAACCCCCGTTCCCATGGTCCGATCATGCTGGATCGCGAACTCGTTCGAATAAACGTACGTTTACACGTTTGTACCAAATTTCATCAAAATCGGATCATTTTTGCTTGAGTTATCGTGCTGACGGACACATATATATATATATAAATATATAAATATATATATATATATATATATATATATATATATATGAATTTGAACGGATGGTGTTTTTGGCCTCTAGGGACCTCAAAACGAAAAAAAAATCGGTCCCGCGTCCAGGTCTTACCATGAGTACTACGGTAATAGCTTATTCCCTATATGGGAAATTCGCTAAAAGCAATATACGTATCCCTAAAATATATACAGATATCATATCAACGTATACTTTTTTTTATCAGCTGTAACATTTCCAACTCTAACACAATTAACACGGTCTGATATACACCATTAACAATCACGACTGCGTGAAATTAACAATTAACAGTTTGATGCAAACGTCGAGTGAGAGAGTGTGATAAGGAGTCCCGAGGGATGGTGATGTTCCCACAGGACCGGGACTACTACATGTGTCCTGAGGGAACTGGAGACTAGGGTGGTGGTAAAGGAGGGTGATCATATTGCTACTTACATGTTTTGTAAATGATTGTTTAAAATATTATCTAATTCATGGAATTATTTTTGTATATTTACATTTTTTTTTTGTTTGTTTGTTAATTTCATGATATTTAAATATAACGTAATATATAACGTTAATATTTTATTTAAATATATTCCGGGATACGTATTATTTTTGTCGATATTTGTTCATCTTGTTGCTATATTATTGTTAGTTATCTATGTATGCTAGTTATTATAATCCGTGTTATATTATATAATGTAACTATATATGAAATGGTGCGTTGATTTTATAAATAAATCGATTGGGCCCATAGTGGTGGTTTGTTGTTATGAAGAACAATTAAGTAACAAGAATTTGGATTGTTAATTTATAATTTCTCCGTACACATAGTACATGGAGGAAGTATTGTTTTCGTAAACATTTTCGAATTTATGTTTTGGGTAAAAATATTCGTTTTAAGCCCTCTTCACCCAAAAAATGGTTCTCGAAGAGATGTCTGTGGGTGTGTTAAGAGTACACATGTGGTCCGATTTTGATTAACTATGAATGTGTGTACAGTAGGGCCTACTAATCCACGGCAACTACAGGATGTTTTAGTTTTTATTTGCTAGTGGTTTTCTTATAAAAATCCATTAAATAAGGAGAAACCGTGTACTCACAAATCTGCTCAAACGATTTTAAAATATCTTTTAGTATATTATCACCCTGTTTACTCTAAAAGAAATAGTGCAACTCACATCAATATTAAAGTCACGGTTCCAAAGTTATTGCGATTTCTGTGTTTTATCTATTAAATATCACAGTTACTTCCACCTCGTATTTAACCGGTTAATTACGAAGCACAACCTAATGAGAGAAAGTATGCGTCAGTCAGCTGATACGGTTTATTCAGTGAATAAACAAGCATGTAATCATATGTAACTTTTCATTTAACACATGTTTTGTTCACGTTATACATCAGCTGTTGTTAAAATAAACTGAAGGCTGTGTTTATACTTAGTGATTGTCCTCTAATCTTCTAACGAATAGATCAAATATATTGCGTCAATAAACTAAACATATAAATATATATATTGATTTACACTATGTCGATTGCTAAGTATTCCCTTGAACAGGAAACGGAAATAAATAAGTAATATTCAAATTTTAATTATTAGTTTGGGGTTGCTTGTACTTTGATTTGGAATCGACTCACAAAGAGATACACTAGTAGTAGAATATCTTAGAATATACATATTATTAGAAGAATATTTTGATGTCGCGCACGCAATGAAAATATTGGGCTCGCAATGCAAATAATAGGGATAGGATGTGGCATAATCGTTTTCACCCTATATCAACTATATATATATATATCAAATATATCGTCGATTTTGAAGTCACGATGTGACGCAGGTTTGCTAGTACATAGTACTTTTGACTCAATGGTAGTACGCAATTGATTTATTGCCGGAAGCATTACAAAAATGTACAGGCTTATTTCAATGAAAAAAAAAACTTAATCGCCAACTAATGGTATTGCTCAGTGAGGTTCATCTCTTGGATGACTATTATTTAAATTAAAGATTTATACAATATTGTCACAATATTTATTGAATATTACTATAAATTACTTATAGATTAGCATAGTAAATTAGTAAGACATATATTAGTTTGGCAATCTATTTGTATTCAATACATAAAACATAACATAAAAATAATGTATTATATTGTATTGTATGTAATTATATTCAAACTGTAAACAAATGTACCTTAATATTTTTTCTGGTGCATTCAATACTAACTTGTCCGCAGTTTAAACATTTAAAATTTAGTGAAATGTTTTCTTCCAATGGCCGACGAAAACTGATTCTTTGCACAATTTTATGATACGCATACCACAAAAAAGGAAATGGTAGACAAGTATTGAATTATTATTTTAATTTAAAGTAAGTAAGTAAGTATCAAGTAAAGTGTAAACCGGAGCGTACCATAGATGTGATTTATGTTGTACATAAAAGAACTGGTTTTGTTCAATAACAGTCGTTGTTGTATTACTTTGAATGAAAGCGATTGATGTGAAATGGATGTTTTGGTGCGAAGACATAAAACTAAATTATGTATACCGAAAGTTTATTATGAAAAAAGGGGTTTTGAATAAACATACTTATGTGAGTTAATAAAATACAATAAACGCCTATGTAACACGATTATTCCTGCACCGTATATACTAAAAACTATAGTTTTGTTTTTATGTTACGTTAGCTTTTTCACAGTTTATTATATTGTTATCTATTTCCATAGTCTATTATTGTTATGTAGGCCTATAGTAAATTTATTAATGTTAATTATTTACAATTTTGTCATTTTGATGATTACTGATTTTATTGATGTTAATTATTCACACTTATTGTCATTGCAGTTAATTAGGTACTTACGTATTATACGGAGGCCACTTATTTTACAGCGCGCTGCGGCGGTTAGGTTAGGTTGGGTTATCATAAGTTTTTATGACTCATCTCGTATAGTTCGATTCATAACGAAACTAGGAAAGTTCTACAAACATATTTATGATAACCCAACTTAACCCAACCGCCGCAGCGCGCTGTAAAATAAGTGGCCTCCGTATAATACGTAAGTACCGTTAATGATTACGCTGTTTCTTGTTATTGCTATTGGTGTTTATTATTCACACTTTGCTTGTTATTGTTATTGATGTTAATTATTTACACTGTTTCTTGTTATTGTTACTTTTTTCACAATGTTGTAACTGTTGCAATTTTACTCAAACTGTCCACCACCACCACCAGACTTCTTACTCATTTATTGATGTTTTCTATTGTATATCTTGTTGCATGTAAATCTTGTCTAATGTATTATTTTGTAAAATGGCGATTGCCGTCGGAATGAATAAATAAATAAACTAAGAATTTAGTTGAATAATTTTAATTAAATTAAATGCTAATTATGTTCTATCTTAATCTAAAACGTATTTTAAATATGTTTAAACTAATTTATACAATTGTCAAACGTTATACCTCCACAAATTTTGTTAAAACACTTAACCCCTATCTAATATTCCAATGATGACTATAAAAGGGCCAGTTACCTGTTGATGCCGCAGCGACGAGATCAGGAAGGCTTCTGACGACTCCCATCCAATGACAGAGGAGTATTAGCGACGAGAGCCAATCAGAGGGCGAGTAGAGGTTGCTTAGCAACCGAGCCTCCCCTCCCCACCATGCCATATTGACCCATTCATGTATTGTCTAATAATGTATTGTAAACATATCTGTGCACTTACGAGTGTAAATTGATTGTTGAATGTTTAGGTTTATTTGTTTTAAATATATTTTGTAGGTAAACCTGGATCTTATTGATCAGTCTACAGTTTTGAATTTGAATTAATCGAGTTTTGAATTTGTTTTACACTGAGTACTAAATATCAATGACAAGTGATCAAATCACTCAGGGAAATTTACAAAGTAAAAAACGTTAGTAAAAATATTAAATAGGGCCTATACGATTATGATCCCTTTATCTGAACTTTGAACTACAACAGCTGATCTGAACTGGTCAAAGTAACGATACCAGTTTCCCTTTAAACCAACAATAAGACTTTTGGAATATATTTAAATGATATAGCTATCTAACCTCACGTACATTTACTTTTTATTTGTACTAAAACGTAAACGTCTGGTCTTTCTAACTCAAACAATTCGCTTAGTATTTCTGCTACAATTAAGGAAACGGTGAATAAAAGTACACTGTACGCTTAGAAAGGCACCATCAAGGTTTAACTGGTTTACTCTCGTTTCCTATTAAACCACTATTATATCTGCCCAGCTTTTGGGGAATCCCGTTTCCCAGGTTTTCGAATTAAGGAGTTTTTAAACGCATGCAAACTATGCCATTAACTTCCAGCTCATTTTTTGAGGGGTTATTTTATGTCTTTTGATAGACCATAACTTTTCAGCGGGTCGCGCGAACTACCAATAGAGGCGCGTAGTCAAATAGAGGCAGATGCTATATAAATTGGGATTGTTAATTTGTCGTTTAGTTGAACACTTTATTTTCACCTGCGTTTTACAACTCTTAAACATCGTCATCAAACACTTCGTTATTATTTAATTTCTGAATGCCCAACAAATTTAAGTTAATCCGGTATATCTGGTATATTGTATCCAATTTGGAAACAATTCCTACATCAGATTTGCTTACTTAGTGGCTTCATCTAAATTCCAGCAAGACTTGTTCTCGGAAAAAATTTGTTAAATAGTTTAAAAAATTAGAAGATTTGCGAAAAATTTCACAAAAAATTCAAAATCCTTTGGTAGGGATTGATTATATAAAGACTCAAATCTGTGCAAAGTGTAATTAATCTGAAATAAGTTGATATCTAACGAACCTATCCGCTACAGTGTATTCTTTTTTTCCAATGCTAGGATTCATATTTTGCAATGATAATATGGGTTATTCGTTGGTATACAACCTAAATCCTAAATAACTAGCTTAAACCATCCTTCAATAATGCACCCAGTAATTGTTGTGTAACTGTTGTGCTAAGAAGTTTGGTTTCAATATTTAAAATGCATGCCAATGCATTCATGTAAATCTGGCCAAATAAATGACTTATGGCTTTAAAAAATAAACACAAGATCATTAATTTCCTTTGATACATAATATGACGATTTACCAAATGGCATAATGTATCATTTGGTAAATTGTCATATTACAGTACATAATAATACATTTTGAATTAAACACAATGTGTATGTTGGAAAAAACGTCATATTACATCAAAGATTGCATTGCAAAATATAGTGTTGACAATAACATAAAATGCCACCAATATGCACGACTATTACTAAAGGCGAAAGATGAGTTAGATTTTATCCCAGCAGCCACCTGATACTCCTTATAAGGTTTATTGCTTGTAAGTAACGTTGTGAAATTAATTACCGAATGCTTGTTTTACACGCTTTTTATTACTTTAAACCGATTAATGCACTCTGAATGGCAAGAACACGATTTTAATTGCTTACATTAATGGTTTGAAATTTTACACCCATCGTATGTTAAATTGACGTTAATTAATTCTGTTTGAAGAAGTCTTGGCGTGTTGTAAAATCTTAAGCTTGAAGTGAGTTTTGTATCCGGAGTGTACACAGATATCGATTACATTATTTTATCTTATTTTAGAATACAGTAGTTGTAACAGTGGAGAATTTTCTGTTCAGTTATAATGAACCCCCGCCCCGCACTCTTAATGGTTTTCACTATGATGTTTCCTTAAAACGTTGACATTTATTCCATATTTAAAAACATCAGGATTAACGAGTACTTAGGTTTCACATAAGGCACTGGCAAGTGTGTGTTTTTAGCGAATTATTGAAAGCTTGGTTTAAAATCAATAAATTAGCCAAACAAGATAAAAATATGCACATGAAATATCACACTACAGCAGTTTACCTATTGTCCATAAGCATACATTGAGCGTTTTCAATTTACAATTCTTTAAATTTTCTCTGTAGCCATTATATGTACAACACCGCTTCAATACGCTAAATTATTCGTGTTTAAAGCTCTATGAAATAGTTTAGGAGTAGATTACAAAATTTTATGTTTTTTATGTCAAACATGGGAAACCCTTATTTTTACCCCATAACCCCCTACCCTTAAACCTGGTTTCCATAGTCTCTCATGGTTCGCAACATTTTCCATGAATGAGAAATTCACTAAACATAAAACCATGAACATCTCAGTCGTTCAAACATCCCAAGACATGTTTAAAAATGTTAAAGAAAAGAAAGTTTGCGACTTATTTTTGCCTCGCCTCAAGTGGGAAAAAAGGGTACAAACGAAGCGAACCCCGGGGCAGCCCATAAACCCGTTAATGACGGGTTAACCACGGGCCATCCCTCATTAGAAACGGAAGTATGGAATGGGCTTTTGTCTGCTATCAGAGATCGGCGCGTGTCCGCGTGCTCGTGTTACATCTGATAACAGAGACACGGCGACGGTGGCGATCGTGCTGCCACTGTCGATTACAGACCTATCGCGCTTCTGCCGATGGAACCGAAAAATTGGAAAAAACGCTCCGCTGTACGATTTTGTCGTATTTTTACGATTCTGCATTACGTAATGGACCAAAACACTAATGACTAGATCACGAAGTTTTAGTAGATAGTGGCTGTTCTAGGAGTTTTATTATTTTTTTAAGTATTAGGAAAAGTAAAGTGTTACCTATTACCCTGGTGGTAGATTACTGAGAATACCCTATTATTTTAGTCACGTTATCTGAACTGATTAAACGAAAGAATAAAACTGCTGACCACGTCTAGAAATAGTGCGCATGGTAATATAATTTTTTTATAACATCGCCTGACCTGTTAAACAAAAATGAGCGACGCTGATAGTTTCTTCCTATTAATAACGAGTAATTTGGTAATACGATTATTTTTGTGACATCGCCTGAACAGTTTTTGAAATGTTATCGATTTTAAACTTGAGCACTCGTTGGAAATGCTACTTTCAGTACTAGTTGTGCTGTTTGGTATTTTTATAATTGTTATCAAATGTTGCATATTTGATGTTTGTTTTTATTGTATTGTTGTTTTGAAATTGTACTATGTTCTTCTAAGTCGACACTCATAATTACTATTGCTTCAAAAGGCGCCACAAGTCTAGAAAACATCGATATAAAAATAGTGATAAAACATGGTCTCTTAGTCAAATCAAAATTTATGTCCACAATTACTTTTCAAATTGTTACTTTACGATCGAAATTCCCTATACTGAACGTATACTCAAGTGGCCAACCGAGAAACGTCACTGAATAAGAGCCAAAGCAACACTTAACAAATTGTTATACAGGTCATCAAACCATAACTCAGGAATCAAAGTTTGTGTAACAAACGACGCTATTAGCGACGACAGGGTTTGAATCCATATTCATTAACACAGAAGCTCAATGGCTCAGTGAGTAAAGGCGTGAACACAAATTTGACTTGCAAATAGCGCTTGTCCGTTTGATCGAATAGATATGCGCTTGCGTTCCTTCTGGTTGCTTACTCAATCCGACTGAGATTTGGCCATCAACGTATATAACAGTGCTTGAAATTATAATAAACATTTTAAACGCCAAATACAGCACGACATTTTATAAACCGTTTACGTATGGGGATTTAATGTATTTGGGACATTTATTGAAGGTGTTGGTTTAGGGTAACGAAAGGTATAAAACTGATGAAAGGTTTGTTAAGCGTTAAAACAGCACCACGTTTTGGCAGATTTAATTTGCGATCTATTTATTGTTTTTATTTTTGTATTGGTTTTGAAAAAAAATTGTCACTGACTTACAACAAACGATGAAGATTTTTTAATCAAATGTGAATAGATTCACCAAGTTCTTAAATTTAAATTGTTTTTTAAATTGCAAGTAATACTTATGAAAGTAATATAGGCTACTAACATTTCCCGTAATTTCCAAACATTAGTCTTTTGTTAATGTCCCACCATCACATCCACTACTAAGTCGCAAGTTACACATTACTTCAAGCTAGTCCTAATGGGTTGCGGCATGATCAGTAAGATAAAATCTATTGGTGATTGATAGGTTTCGAATCCGGGACCTCGGGACCGAAGTCTAGCGTTCCTTACCACTAGACTAGCTCTCTTCCCAGTATTGGATAGATACACCCCATGGCAAATTATAGCTTCATCAAAATCTCAGGACACAAAAGTCGTCGGGTGGACACGTTAAAATAACACATTAAAATCTAAAGCATAACACGACATTATGCTAGTAAAATTATATGCATCCCTATGCAAACAATACGAACTGGTTCTTCCACAAAGGTCAAACATCAATTATTACAAACCATAATGAATAAAGAAAATCCCAGTAATGGGTCAAAAATATATTACTTCAACATTCTAATCCACCTCCTCTTTACAAACTTATCAACAATTTCAGATCATTCAAAAACTCACGAAAAAATGATATCGGTCTGTAAATTGGCCTATCGATTTTCACCCCTTGTTTGGGGTTGGATTGTATAATGAGGGATGGTCATTATATGGGGTTTCGCCACGGGTCATACACCTGCTACTCAGCTGTCTCTGGGACCAGCTCCGCCGATCGCCCAGATTGCCCGCTAATGTATTCCCGGATCCTTGTAAAAACACCTCTTAATTCCTTGTTTAATTACCCGTTTGATTCGAGCACCGAGCCCAATTACCAGTT